GTGGGGGGGGGGGGCATACTGGGCCCAGCCTGGCCCAACCCTGAAGCAGCAGTAGGCAGGGGGTTGCTGGGCCCAACCCCACAATGGTGGGGGGGAGCTAGCCCACCCTCCAAAATGGCAGTGGGAGAGCGCCGGGCCCAGCCTGGCCCAGTCCTGCAATGACGGCATGGGGGGTGCAGGTCCAGCCCCATGGCAGAGGAGAAGAATATGGGGAGCAGGCCCAGCCCCGAAGGTTGGGGGAGGGGGGCAGACACAGGCCTCTGTCCCCACCCACATCCCCCCCAGTCACTCTTGACAGGCAGTTGGCTAGTTATTACATATTTGCCAAAACTTTCTGCAGAATTCTGAGACTCTTGCTCTTATTATAACCTTTTAAAATTATTGCATGCTGTTTTGCCATTGAGGTGTATCTCTGACTACATGGTTTAACTAAAATGTATTGTGTTTCTAAAGGTATAAATATAGATCTTTACTTTAAGAACTGCATTGAAATAATCGTCATGTTCATCTTCTTATCAGTATCCCCATAGGTATTGTGATACAATAGAAAAATGCAAAAGTATCCCAGATGTCTTCCACAACAAAATACCTCAAAGTTCACAAATCTACCAGGTCAGCATGTTTTTGCATATACCAAATAAATTCTTGATGTAGTACAACAAGTGTACTTTCTTGTCAGGAAGAGTTATGACAGCTTTATAAACATAAAACACTCTTTTCCATTTAGCATTTAACTATACCAAGTAGATGTTGCTTAAATAAGCCTGTGTCCATTTAAAGGTCTTGGGCTGCAATGAGAGGATAACAATGTGATTTTTTTTTTTTCTTAATAAGCAGGCTGTAGACCCAGAGCAGCTCTCTCAGGATCCAGTAGGGCGACCCCTAATGCATCTGGCTGGTATTAAACATGCCACTGGTGAAGCTATTTACTGTGATGACATTCGTGCTGTAGAGGAAGAGCTCTTTTTAGCTGTAGTAACCAGTTCAAGACCCCATGCAAAGATCATGTAAGTACATAAACAAGAGAGTATTTGCTATGTAAAAGGTTAAATCCTGAAGTCCTTGTGTAGGCAATACAATTCCTATTAGTTTCAGTGGAAATTTTACTTTTATAGGGCCTAGAGGAATACATCTGAAGTCACTTGGGGAACCAATTTTTTGTGGAAAGTAGATATCATGCATACTTTTTTTTATTTGGGGTTGATGGGAGCAATTTTTTCATGAGTATTTTTCCACAATATATTTGAGTAAGATGTGATATAATTTGAAAAAAAAAGTTTCATGGAAGCTGCAGAATTGTTTATGCTGGTCTCTTATCTATGCCCAAACCTCTGTGAAATCATTAGTCAATGTTTTTTTCCCCAAGATCAATTGATCTATCTGATGCCCTCAAACTACCAGGAGTGATTGATGTGATAACAGTGCAAGATATTCCAGGAACAAATGAATTCTGTTGCATTAATGAACCAGAGAGTCTGTTTGCAAACCATAAGGTATTTGTATTCATTTCTTAGTCAACTTTGGCTTAATTTAGCTTTTTGTGAGAGAGAAGCTTTTCTCAGTGTCTAAAAGTCTACAGTTTTTTGATAAGTGTAAACAGATATTAAGCAGTTTATATATTGCACATATCTGAAAACTCTTTCAATCAATAAATAAATATATACCAGGAATTAAAGAATGAATATTCCTGTATAATGTGTATTCTGCAGTTGCAAACTATTGCAACACTGCTTCAGATGCATTCAAAAGTAGGATAGACTACAATATTTGTTTTTTCTTTGTCTGAACTGATTTTTAAGAAAAGCGAAATGTTGCATCAGTTATTATTTAATATATGATTAATTGATTAGATTTAAAGTTTCTGGCTTTTTTTCTTCTAAATCTTCCTCTGAGATGGGGGGAAAAAAAAAGATCTGTTATGAAAATCAAATCCAAAAGAAAGAGAACACAAGTAAACTTAATAGAATTTTGTGTTTTTGCTACTTGTGAAAGATGCCAGGCTTTTAAGTTCTGTACTGGCTGGCAGAACTTAGCAGATCCAGCCTTTCACATCCGGATGAACAGAGGGACGCAGATCCCTAATTATATATACCTGATCAACTAATTATAAGAACAAAGAATGCAAAAAAATAGAAATTAATGTGCAGGTCACAGGTAAAAGCATGGGATCCAGAGGGACTGTCCCACCTGCTCCAAAAAGGAGCCCCTGGAGTAAGCAACAGCTTCCCAGAGGAACTTTGCCTGAATGTATGGCTTAGACAAAGAAACTAGAGTCATAAAGAGTCTCCAGTCCTCCTTCTGACTGCTGCGCAACTGGAAAAAGTTCTCAAGGAAGCCTTGCACCTTTGTGGAGCCAGATGGAGAGTGGTTACATGCAAGCAGACCTGGACAGGATAGACAAGTGGGCAGAAAACAACAGAATGCAGTTCAACAAGGAGAAATGCAAAGTGCTGCACCTAGGGAGGAAAAATGTCCAGCACACCTACAGCCTAGGGAATGACCTGCTGGGTGGCACGGAAGTGGAAAGGGATCTTGGAGTCCTAGTGGACTCCAAGAAGAACATGAGTCGGCAGTGTGACGAAGCCATCAGAAAAGCCAATGGCACTTTATCGTGCATCAGCAGATGCATGACGAATAGGTCCAAGTAGGTGATACTTCCCCTCTATCGGGCGCTGGTCAGACCGCAGTTGGAGTACTGCGTGCAATTCTGGGCGCCGCAATTCAAGAGGGATGCGGATAACCTGGAGAGGGTCCAGAGAAGGGCCACTCGTATGGTTAAGGGCCTGCAGACCAAGCCCTACGAGGAGAGACTAGAGAAACTGGACCTTTTCAGCCTCCGCAAGAGAAGGTTGAGAGGCGACCTTGTGGCTGCCTATAAGTTCATCACGGGGGCACAGAAGGGAATTGGTGAGGTTTTATCACCAAGGCGCCCCTGGGGGTTACAAGAAATAATGGGCACAAGCTAGCAGAGAGCAGATTTAGATTGGACATTAGGAAGAACTTCTTCACAGTTCGAGTGGCCAAGGTCTGGAACGGGCTCCCAAGGGAGGTTGTACTCTCCCTTACCCTGGGGGTCTTCAAGAGGAGGTTAGATAAGCATCTAGCTGGGGTCATCTAGACCCAGCACTCTTCCCTGCCTATGCAGGGGGCCGGACTCAATGATCTATTGAGGTCCCTTCCAACCCTAACATCTATGAATCTATGAATCAGCTGGGGTCATCTAAACCCAGCACTCTTTCCTGCATATGCAGGGGGTTAGACTCGATGATCTATTGAGGTCCCTTCTGACCCTAACATCTATGAATCTATGAAGTGTAGTCAGAAACCCAATAAGTTTCTGGCGGGATCAGAATGGGTACTGCAACTTGACACACTGTAAACAGGTAGGAAAACTGTTAGACAAGTTTCTGGGCATAAGGTGCCCTTTAATAAAAAATATTACCAAACTTTGCTTCTTAGTTATTCCCTGAATCATCAAAGCTACAATGGCACTACAACCCTACTAAGTAGGCGAGCACCCACATTTCTTCACCAGAGAAAGGGCGGATATCAGAGCATCAGAAATTGTCAGCCATTCACTCACGCTTGCCGTTCCATGTGCTAATTGATGTTACTGGTGGGCAGATGAACTAACTTGTAGTACAGATTTGCCCATCAAGGATCCTGTTGACTTCAGATGATGACAGTCAGGCCTGACACTTGATGTTGGAGCAAGGAAGTACACAATGTGCAGCATGAAAGAGGAAGATGAAGCATAAAGATGCTCCTTACACATGGTTTAAATGCAGTCTGAATGTTGCATTCCT